GCCCAAAATTCTGTGGGTTTTTTCACTTTTATTCTAAAACTTTTACATTTTACAATAAAAGCAGTAATTCACTTTCAGTTACTTTTTGTATAAGGTGTGAGGTTTAGATCAAAGTTCTTTTACTAGAATGGGGTCGTACAGATTGAACCCAGGAATTTGCTCTACAATGAATTACACCCAAGCCCCAAGGTTCATTTTTTAAGGGGATAAAACATAGAGGAAATGCTTGCAAATACTTACTTGATGAAGTTCATATCTAAAACATATAAAGAGCTTTCAAAGTTTAACAAATTAAAAAAAGTAAACAGTCCAGTAAGAAAATGGGCAAAGGGACATGAAAAAATATTTCAACAGAGGATATATGTATGGCAAATATGCAATTAAAAGATTTTCAACATTACAAATCATTAGAGAAATAAATGCAAATTAAGACCATGATGCAATATCACTATACATTAGAACAGCTAAAATAAAAATTAAGATCAATATTAAATGCTGATGAGGATGCAAAGAAACTAGATCTCTCACACATTACTGGTAAAAATATTAGCTGGAAAAGTTTGTCAGTTTCTTTTAAAACTAAACACACATTTACTATTTGACCCAGCAAATGTTTACTCCTAAACATTTACCTCAGACACATCAAATCATGTTCACACTATAGACTGTTCACAGGAGGTGATTACAGTCCTAAACTGGAAATAACCAAAATGTCCAATAGTAAATGATTGAACAAACTGGTACACCAATACTACTTAGCAAAAACAAGAAACAAACGATTGATATATGCAACAACTTGGATGGATCTCAAAAGCATTATGCTGAGTGACAAGATCCAATCTCAAAAAGCCACACATTATATTCCATTTATGTAACATTACAGAAAGTGACAAAATTACAGAGGTGGAGAACAGATTAGGAGCTTCCAGAGGTTATGGGTAGGGTTGGGGAGAGGGCATCAGGTCAGTGTGATTATAAAGAGGGAGCATCAAGAGACCCTTGTAGTGATGGAGTAGTTTCATATCCTGACAACAGTGGTGGTTACATGAATATACACTTGTGATAAAATGATACAGAAATATGTACATGATTACATCACTTTCTTGTTTCTGATACAGTACTATAATTATGTATGATGTAACCAATGAGGAAACTTGAGTGAAGTATACACAGGGACCTCTCTGTACTGCCTTCTCAATTTCCTAAGAATTTCTACTTATTATTTTTTTTAAAGCATCTTAAAATTCAATCAACATTAAACAATCCAAAAGTTGGAAAACAATGGGAGAAATTTGTAAATTATGTTGAAAGGGCTGAGGTTGTAATGCAAACCAAAGAGGAACAGGGTACTCATGGTACTACTTAAAAAGAGAGCTCAAGAATTTATACAACTCCCAAAACAGACAGTTCAATCAAGCATTTACTGAGTACCCAGTATATGTAACACATAGTGTTAGAAGTAATAAAGGGATTAAAAGGAAGAAAGATCAAGCACTTACCTCTGATTAATCTACTCTCTAAAACGATAAGGCACAATAATTATTAAAGGGCTCAGGGCCTCTGCAAAAGCAGTTCCCTTTGCCTGGGATATTCTGACATTTTTTGCCTAGTTAGTTCTTACACATCCTTGAATTCTCAGCTCAGTGTCACTTTTTCAGAGAAACTCTCCAGCTCTTCTCACATCAGATTAGTTTTCTCTATTATGTTTGAACAGCACCCTGTATTTTTCATTCACAATATTAATCAATCATAAACAACCATGTGATTATTTGATCTCTATTAGGCCGAATTCTGCAAAAGGACACAGACAGGCTTAAGTAGCTCACCCAAACCAAATGATAGCTCAAAATATATTACATAAATAAATCCATGTAAGGCTATAATTTATATGTACAAAGAAGCAAACAGTAAGTTACTAGAGTGTGGAAGAATCCACTTATGAATTCAGATCTGAGAAGTCAGTTTAAATGGGATAGAAGATTCATGTAGATGATAAAGAATCTTAAATCCAAAGGTAAATACGAACTCTAGCCCTCCAACAACAGGAGTGCACTGAAGAATGAAAGAGAGGAATGGCTGGCTGTTCAAGTGTTCTTTAGAAAAATTAATGTGGAAATAGGTGTGAATTGAGAAAGACACCAGAGGCAATGAAAATAATTAAAGCCAGATATGTTGGCACACACTTGTAGTTCCACATACAGTACTCAAGAGGATAAGGCAGGAGAATCACTCGAGCTCATGAGTTCAAGATCAGAAACACATGAGAATTCATCTCTAAATAATAAATAAATAAATTAAAAGGATGTTATGGTGGTAATGCAGGCATAAAAACAATAAGGTCCAGAATAAGAGTGGGCAGAAAAATGTGAGAAATACTAACAATAAAGAAGCAACAGAGCTTAACAGCACAAAAAGTAAAAGTCAAAGATGATTTAGGAGGTTTAACAGTACAAGAAAGTATCATTAACAGAAATTTGGAAATCATGACTAAGTCCTCTTAGGTACTTTGTTGGAAATGATGGGTGACAATATTTAATATATAAGACTGGATGTAGAAGAAACTCAAGACAGGCAATATAGATGTGTGATTTGAACAGTTAGCATTATGAAAGTAAATAAGATATCAAGGGAGAAGGTATAATGGGTCTTAGATGGGATCATTTAAAACAATCTGATTTCCCCCTTGGTCCATTACATTCATAAAACTCTAATAGAGTACAGTGGTACCTTGGTTTATGAACTTAATTCTTTGCACAATTTTAGTCACAAAATTAATTCCACAATTCTGGCTGCAACTGAATTGCAAGTATACAAGTACTATATACTTGCAAGCATATATTTGCATACATATACTATACTTGCAAGTGAGTTGCAACCAGAATTAAGTTTGTGAACTGAGGTACCAGTGTAATTCAGACTATGAGCACCTTGAAAGCATTTCTGATACCATCTTTGTATTCCCTAAAGTACACAAAACAGGGCTTTGTATGAGTCAGAAGCACAATAAATAGCTTTTAAAGAAATCAATCATGCGAGATAATTTCTGATTAATATAAAAAGTGGTGACCTAAGTAGTAGCTTACAAGGTACAAGCTTCACTTCAATTAGTAAAATTAGTGAGTTCAGGCAGTTTAAGTCACTTGCCAAAACTCTAATTTCCCAAGGCTCAAAACTGAAGAATTCACAAGCTAGATATTAACACTGTTGCAAACCTTAAAAAAAAAAGCCCCAAATGAGGACTAAAACGAATTTTAACTAGCAGCTGAAATACTCAAGTGGTTGTTTTTATTGTTGTTGTTTTAAGCAGGGTCTCACTATGTAATTCAGGTTGACCTTGAACTCACTATGTAGCCTAGGCTGGCCTGGAACTCACAGTGATCCTCCTGCCTCAGCCTTCTGAGTCCTGGGAGTAGCGATGTGCACCACCATGCCCAGCTTCAAGTGTTTTCTTAATAAGCAACAACAAAAAATTGCCAGGGAAGTCAAACAAATGAAAAATTTCAACTGTATATGTACACTAGGCAAGTTGATAATGTACAAAGAAGTAGTTTCAGGAGAACCGAAGGATAACTGAAGGCTAATTGGCATAATTAAAAAAGGAAATTGTGAACAGTTGAGACACATACATTTTTTAATACAAAGAGGAAAAAGTACTTGGCCTGTTCTCACAAAGCACTCATCAGTATTACAGTCAAGGTGGTGTGGGGAACTAATCTGCTTCAATATTTGGGTGAATAGTATTTCTTTAGCTGCATTTATTTAAAAGAAAAAGGACAGGTAAAATAGACCAGGAGACTAACTTATTCATGGCCTTCCCAAATTATCATTCTATTATCAACTAAGCCTTTTCAAGAGTGCAGTCAGCCACATGGTTCTAACCTTGAATCTAGCAATGTTCTAGGTGTTTTCCAATAGGTGAGTGTGTTTGTGGGAGAAGTCCGAGAAAACAGTTGGAGTTACATGGCTCTAAGAACCTGTCGTGTTATCTGTAATTCAACAACCTAAGAAATCTGGCTTCTATTCTGCATGTCTAAAAGACAGTCAACTGGTATTTGCCTGTTTATTTCCAACTAACAAATTAACCGTTTGATAAACTGACCATTTTCAGAGTTATGCAGTTAAAATTTGTATAAAACCCTTCGAAGTTATCTCCCAGTAACTTTCACTGCTGGTCCTATTTTTTAAGGGGAACACGCTAAGTGAACATCGACGTGGTGTTTTGTTTTTTAAAAAGCTCAGGTATTACTTGTTGGCACAGCAATATGTTCCTTTCTCTCAATCGATTTGACCCTCCCCGCCCCTTCAATGTTTTATTTCCTTTAAAGAAAAAAAAAAAAGAAAAAAGAAAACCAGGCATAGGGGATATATTTCCTTTAGACTCAGCCACCACCTCTTGGTCAGAGCTAAGAAAATGGGTTTAAATAACCACCCACATACACTAGAAGAGTTGCAGGTGATATGAAACCCCATCGCCAAGAAGCAAGCAATCTGGCCGGTGCCCAGGTTCTGGGACGCGACAGAAGACACACAGACCTGGCCAGGCAGGGCTAAGGCTGTGGGAGCCAAGAAGCCTGTTCCTCTTGCCAAAGGGAGCTGGGTGGAAGCTCGTTCCCAGGCCGGCGCCAAGTGTCTAGAGCCTCTCCGGACCAAGCGCTTGGCCCGGGCGAAGCGTTATCGCTGAAAGCAGCCTAGGTGAAACGCTTGGCCAAACCCATGGCCAAGCCCAAGCCGCGCCGCTGGGCCAAGTGCCAGAAGCCCAACCACCCCGCCCGCCGGACGCTGTCCTGAAAGCCTCACCGGTAGCAGCGCCCGCAGTTGAAGACGTCTCCGGCTCCGCCGGAGTCCAGTCTATCCCGCCGTCCACCCTCCCTCACTCCCCCGCCCAATCCGCCAGGGAGGCCACCAAGGGGGTGGTGCCCAGGAGCCGCGCCGCGCCGGGGAAAAGGCTGCGAGCCGGGCAGGGCCTCCCCGGAGAGCAGCGGCGGCGGAGGGTCACTCACCGAGAGGACGCTCATGCGGATTGGGGTCTCCAACAGACACGCCATCTTGAGCCTTCCCACCCGGCTGCTGCCGGCGCCGGCGCGGGGGCCGGCACTTTCGACAGCCAACTATTAAGCCAACAGTAGGAGGTTCTGCAGAAAGTCAAGCACATAAACGAGAACAGAACATTCTCCGGACGCTGTTCATATACGGGAAGAACCCGCACGAGTGCGAGCAAAGGGGGACTGTGCCCGGGGCCTCCTTACGAATCGTCCTCTCAGAAACGGAAGCTGCTGTCAGCCTGGGCCAGAGGTGGGCGCGGGCCGCGGTTTCCGCATGCGCAAAGATCTATCGGCCCCACCTGCCGCTCGTGGGGGGCGGAGCCTAGCCCCGTAGCTGTGAGCTGTCCAGACTGATAAATTACAGTTTACCGGTTCTTGTTTTCTTCTCAAAAACTAGTATGTGAAGCTATCTACATATTTGGAACTTCACTTTCGCATTCATTATCTCACTCTCTGAACCAAACTTTCCGTTTTCTAGGTGGAGAAACTGATCTTCAAGCCACGTTTTCTCCCTCCAGTAAGAGTGATTGTTTCACGATCTAGCGCTGAAGTGTGACCTGCTTTAGCGTTGTGTACTCGGCCCTTTTATTCTAGTATAGTGATAAAGATAGGTATTCTAGAGCCAGAACGCCTGAGTTTCAACCTTACTATTTCACTTATTAGCTGCATTATTTTAGACAGGTTACTTGACCTTATGTTTCAATTTCTTCATCTGAAAAATAGGTTTTGAGAATGAGGCAGCCGATAAATCTGAAACACTTAGAACATGACCGAAACAGAAAAAGTAAAATTTGTGTGTGTGTGTGTTAGCTCTTCTCCAAATTTCGAGTCAAATGGGGAAAAATGGGTCAAATATTAAAACATTTAACTGAAGTCAAATAAAAGTAATGTGTACAAAATAGACAAGGCTTTCTTTAGCAGGTGTACAAAGGCAGTTTGTAGGTTGGCTCTTGTGGTGGGATACAGGTGGCATAAATGTGAACTCACACAGAACAGACATATAGCTGTGGATGAAAGGGGGTGGCTGTGGGTAGGAAAAGTGACTCAAGGCATCTAATAACTGCTACTCAAGCTTTCCTGTTTTATTCCATAAGGCTGACAATACCATTTCACATGAAGAAAGCACTGAAGAGCAAAGTTAGGGGTCAGAAATCTTGCCTCTAGATCAACTTTTGCTGCTACATAACTTTAGGTACACTTTAAATCTAAGAGTAGAAATTCAGGTATAAGAAGAAGTTTTCCTTTCCCTCTGTGTAGCAACAGCAGAACAGGTAAATTTGGCCCTGAACTGAGGATAAGGAAACGCCCACACTGACTTCCTTCCAAACAGAAACTAAACTTGTTCTTGTCTTAGAGCAGTATTAACTTATGAAAAATAGTGAGACAAATGTGACTTTAATGAAGTAAAGGTAGAAATACAGAAAGGGAAGTAGCTAGAAAGAGATTTGAAAAGTATCTATATATGCTAACAAAGAATTGCTCAAAATAAATAACAAAACCCATATTTTTAGAAGTACAAACATATATGTATGTATGCAAAAATAGAAAAGCTTAAAGTATAGAAAGATAGGTATAACCCCAAAACTGAGTGATTCCTGAAGGGATTTAGAAGAATCTTTTCATAGATTTAAAAACAGATGAACTTCTTTAGATAAAGAGAAAATGGACTAACAATGGCACAGAAGAGATACAATACAGTTTAACAGAAACTGCAGGTTTATTTGTGTACACACTGAACTGGGATTTCAAAGAAGAATGAAGACATGGCTCCTGCTCTCAGACAGGAGTAGAAATTAGACTGGAAGAGGATCAAATTTTTCTTGAAGTTAGTTGAGGAGTAAGAGGCTGAATCAATTTGAACACATTTGCTCTCGTTCCAATGTCCTTTCCAGGGCTCCCACAGTTTTCTGGGACCTGATAAAATCTCCTAAATAGGACTTCTGAGCATTCACAAAATAATCAAGCCCAAAAGTCAAATCTACAAGGGTTTGCAGCAGAAAACAATGAATCAGGAATCCATTGGATGAATAAAGAGTAATATGCATGTATATTATGGCTTAGTTACTTTTCTCATTGTTGAGACAAAATACCGAATACCAAAGTTAATGGAAGAAAGGTTTATTTTGGCTCACAGTTTGAAGAAGTTTTGGTCCAAAGTTGGCTGGCTCCAAGGCAGGGTGATATGGCAGAGTAGGATTGCAGAGAAGAAACAGTCCATTGCATGGAAGGGCACGAAGAAGGCAACAAAACAGTGAAATAATGAAGCAGCAGAGCCCCAGCTGCCTGCCTTTCCCTTTTGTCCCTTCTAGGCTACCTGCACTTTGGCTGGTACCACCCATACCCAGGGTGGCCCTTCCCATTGTTCACATCCAGAACTATGCCAAACCAATCAGGGGGCTAATTCAGTAATCACATACTTTTAATCCCAGCATTACAAGTTTAATCCCAGCATCACACACCCTAGATCCAGCCACTTCTGGAAAAGCTTCACCTATGACTGAATGATTGTAACACTGCTGATGATTGTAGCTCCTCCCACAGATTTTCTAATAGGCTGGCTCTGCTCACTCCTAGCAGCTTTCCTCAGATAATCCATATTTCTGGCTTCTCTAATCTTCAGGGGTTTCTACTGTACTTTCAGCTTCACACTCACAGCTTCACACACTGCCCTCTCAGGGGCACACTGCCTGGCCTCCCAGGCCTTCTTCTGAAATCTGGGTGGAAGCCTTTCCGACCCCACAACTCTTGCATTCCGCATTCATCTAAAATCAGCACCACATGATGTCAGCTGGAGCAGTAGCCAGACTTCTCTCTTGGCTGTAGGAGTTGAGTGCCTGAATTGCTGAGCACTCTGAACCCAATCCAGAGGAACAAATTCTCTAGGCCACTGCCATTCTGGAACATGGTGCTCTAGAGCTGTCTTCTCAGAGCAAAGTTTTTCACTTTTGCCTTTTTGAGGCTGCTTGTTCTTGGATGTCCTCAGGCCATCTTTTCTATTGTCCTGTTCCTTCTCAACAACTGAATTTTCCTCTGTTCTGTCTTTGCAGTCCACAGCTTTCCTGGAGCTTCCTTTCAAAATGTTTTAAATTATTCTGCTGGACTCTTTGCTCTTGATTCTCAAAATAGATCTGGCTAAACGCCCCCAACAGTAAACATCCCACTGCCTCAATGTTAAACTGCCTTAAAATTTCTCCCACAAGATTCGTTAGTCTACCACCCTTATTTGCAGCTTCAGGCAAAGTCTCTAGACAAGAGCAAAATTCAGATAAATTTTTTGCCAAAGCATAGCACACATGGTCTTAAGTCCAACAACCAGTGCATCTGTCTTCCCAGAAGAAATCTACAGAGGCTGATACTTACCTGCTGCATTTCTATTAGCATTTTGGTCATCTGAGCTCTAACCAGAATCTTCCATCAAGTAAAGCCCCAGGTGTTCCAGCTCTACTTTTTCAGATGGCATCTCCTAACCTTGGGGAATCATTGCTAAACTTGCTTTTGATAGAAAGAAACAGTAATACACAGTGAAGAATTCAAGTGTAAAAACTGAGTCTTTAAGCTACTGTTTTTCCTTTACTGATGAAACAGGAACTCAGAGAATTAAAGAAAAAAAAAGTTAAACCAAGGATCCTGTAAACTCCGACATTTGGAGATCTACATCTATATCTTTATATCTATCCATATATACATATATGTACAATTATATATAATTATATAACACACACTATTTACTATTTACCAGGCACTGAACTCAGGAGGAGGGATACAGTTATGAACAGGATGGATATATTCCCTGTTCTTAACAAAGCTTTCCAGCAAGAAATGAAAAGGGACAAGTGTATAAGTAGTTAGAAGGTAGAGTGAAAAATGATAGGGTGGGGCCTATGGGAGCTCATAGAGGGGAAATCTCACCTGGACTGAGGTCATAGAAAGTCCTTATAGTGAAGCTGGCATCTAAGCCCTGACCTGAAATATAAACAATGGCAAGGTCCTGTGGGTAACTCCATAACTATAAATATTGGTATAATTGTACAATTAAGATATCATGTCTTGAAGTGGAAACACTGATGAATCCTCCAGAACTATTGGTAGGACAAGAGCTACAATTATATGTAGGAGAGAAGAGACACTATGTAATCAGCTGGTCTTTAAATGGTGATGGGATTTTCTGGATTGCCCCTCAGAGGACATTCTCCCATACCTTTCTAATGCAAGGGTAACCACATTAGGCAGATATGTTTTGAGGTAGAAAAGCAAAGGTAACAAGCTAGCAAAGTATATCAGGTCTTTTTTACCATTTACAATACAGGGATAGCATTTAGAAGTCATAAAAATTCTAAGCAAGAGATAACGCTTGTTTGTGTCGTTGTTTCATATTATTTCTAATGAAATCAGAAAGTCCAAAAAAAGTATTTGACAAGTTCAGATTCAAATTTTAGAGACACCACAGAACTTTTCTATCCATCTGTGATGTTTGCCTCTCTTTACAACTTCAGGCTTGCAGTTTTAGCACCAAAGACCGGCTCTCTCCTTAGTTTTCCTATAGAGTGTGCTGCCATCAGGTGGTAAAGTTCCAGAATGATTTAGCTCAACAGCAAAGCAGCAAAAGGACTAATGCCTTTCCTGATATCTCTAGCACTTACATATAAAGTAATTTGAAACTCATCGCCCAGATATCCACATAGCATACTTCTTTATTTGAAATTTTCTATTTTATTTGTTGCCTTGTTGGCAAAGCCCACTGACTTACTTTACTATAATTAAATGTCCTACACCATTCCTTGTCTCTTTACTATATTATAAATTATCCATCTTTTAGTTTTATTCCTTCTTGAGTCCTTTAGTTTTTATTCAACTCTTATTTGGCTGAATTTTACAGTCTTTTTTCTTCAAGAAAGACTCATGGGTATTGTCTCCTTGGAGATCTTTTCATGGTTGACAACATCTGCTCATTCATTGCCTTTTACATGGATGATATCTTGGCTGTACATCATACAGGAAATCAACTCGAATATAAGTATTTTAAGAAAAAAA